CCTTAAATACATTTACTTCCAAACTTGCCTTCTACTGCTCACTTCATCTACTCAACAGCTCGCCGTAGCCAGTTGGTATTCCGAAGTATTTTGTCGAGTCGATGGGGCGCAGGACCAAGTCTTCAACACATTTCGTTTGGATTGAGCAGTCCAGGCGATGAAAGAGGATACTAAAGACAACCGGCTGTCATTCTAACTAAACACACCTAAGACAGACGAGAATTTTCGCAGACGAAATATAGGTGTTGACAGTAGCAGATAGGCACTGCAATTCGTAACATCCTGGAACTAGCTGCCATAGTAGGGTCCCACCCCCTGGAGCTTGATCAGATGAATGGTCCTGATTTAATCGTTGGCTTTGCTTTTCAGTATTGATCATTTGACGATAAAAATATAACTAAATCTCAGTCGAGTCTGTTGACTTGCTTGCCCAGCTGTTGACCTACTACGAAGTGCTCGGTTGAAAAAATGTATAACACCTTTGTACGAATGAGCATCTAACACTTTTGCGTCTGTCGTAAGACATTCGCAGTCGTCGAGTTACTACGGCAACAGCATGAAGGTATTGAGAAGAAAGCATAGTAGGTGTATGGATGAGCACCAGCAATTACAAAGAAACTTCAGGACCTTGACAAGTCCATTTAGGGGCTGAGCTGTTGTTGCTGAAATTAGTCCGGCTTTACGTGCTTCTAAGAGACTGTTTTTGATGCTAAATAGCACTCTTTAGTATACTATCAATGACTAATAGCTCAAAACCTCGTTCGATCAGGTATTCGAATCTGATGTTTGAGACGGTCAAAAGTATCAAAGAAAACCTTTTGCAGTTAATTTCTTACAAGCACTTATCAAGTCGTCCCTATCGGAGAATGCGAGACATGATCTCATGTCTGCTGATATCCGCGCCTAGAAATTATCACAGATATGACTGGTATTCGCACATATCTTGTTTGATGTTCAAATTAAGCGTTTCATCATGTAAAGCTGACTCATAGCAACGTATTTCCTCAATGCGTGGAATTGCCAAGTAGGCATCACCGATAGCCTTCTGTCAACGCTAAACCGGTCAGAATCTAAACTGACAATATTTATGACACGGGCAAATATACACTGATCAAGAGTCTGGATAACGCAGTTTAATTGTCGAACGGACTCTAAAGATACATCAGGATTTCGATACAACGGTAATAAAGCTGGCACCGTCGTGAAATAATGATGACCTTTGCAGATTTTTATGTCAAGCTTTCTGGTTTAAAATACGAAGCATAACTCACGTGGCAATAGATCCGATGGATGTTTGATCCAGCATCTTTTCATGTCATTGCAGAGTTTGCAAACTTTCAAAAGACATCAACGTTACTTTACGACTTCAATAACTTATAAAATTGGGTCCATTGTAGTCAACTGCTTCATCTGTTGATGCTAACAGCTAGAATCCAATTAACTAATTTAAATGTAGGACCTTATGATAGTGGCACCAGTTCGAGTTTCTCTTTTAACCGCTTGTCCGTTGTAATCGCTGCTGTTGTTGAAGTTCTGATTGATTTTGAATCAAAATAAACATTTTGAAAAGACCAGAAATAGTTGAGCGTCCTGACTTGGTTCTTCAGCCTGGCATTGTTAAATAACAATCGTTTCAGTCAGACGAATTTCCAAGATGAAACTTTTGGTAGCGTTTGCAGGTTTCGTAGCGGTCGTTCAAGGCTATACTAATCCCGTCACAATTGTTGGCTACCGCATGTTCGACAACAAGACTGGCACTTCTTTCGCTGTAAAAGGCATTGATTACTACCCTCGCCCAAATTCCGGCTCTTTGAACTTAAACAACCTTGACTTATTCACTGATGCTTATTATGACGTCTGGAAAGATGATATTGAGTATCTAGCAGCAACTGGTGCGAATACTGCTCGATTGTACGCTGTCGATCCATCCAAGTCCCATGATAAGTTTATGTGTGCACTTCGGTCGAAAGGAATGTATGCCCTCATCGATCTTGCGGCAAGTTGCACAAACTGTTCGGTTACTGGTGATCCGTATCCAAATTGTTACTCTACTACACTAAGAGAACGTGGTCGAGAAATTATTCTTGCATTTTCAAAATACGACAATGTTTTGGTACGTTCAATGCTGATGTTTAAAAGTATTGGTTTTTAGATATGCTGACTATCATGACTTTTGTAGGCTTTCAGTGCAGGCAATGAAGTAAACAATGAGGTTCCGAATGATGCTTCCATCAACGCACCATGTCAGAAGAAATTTGTACGTGATATGCGCCAATTTATTGGCGAATGTCCCTTTATTCGCAAGATACCTGTTGGTCTTGTAGTATCTGATCATGACGTTGTGAAAAACAATCGTCAAGTCAATGCAAAGTACTACAATTGCCGAACTAGTACTGACAAGTATGAAAATGCTGAATGGTATGGAATCAATGCATATCAATATTGTAATCACGATGAAAAGACTCTCGAGGCTGCAAGTGGGTTTCATCAACTTCAGATAGATTTTTTATCATTTGGAATGACAATTCCAGTCATGTTAACGGAATTTGGATGTCTGAACGAAAAGTTTCCAAAACTTGGTAATTACGAAGCACAGCGTACGTGGTTACAAGTCGAGTGGCTCTTTTCATCCGAGTTTCGAAAAGTCTTTTCAGGAGGATTTGCATTTGAATATTCAACAGAAATGGTGAATGTTCAAACTGGTTTTCCATTCACAAGTTTTGATAAAGGGAATTATGGACTTGGCTACTATAAACCTGTAAATTGTGATCATAAAGGAGTCAAGTGCGAGTATGTGCCTTTACCAAACTATCAGAATCTTACGACTCAGTATCAAAAAGTTCGACTTACCAACGAGTCACTCATGAGCGTTTTTAAATCGGATCGAACTACATTTCCAACTTGTCCCTCTGGCTTTCCAAAGTTAAGTGACATTCAATGGCTTTCTGATTCCATTGTCAGTAAATTTAAGTGCCCTAGTGTTGTCCAAGCATTTACATGTCCAGGTCAACAATCGAGTGGAACGTGGGTAGTTGGTTCCGGATCAACTAGTAAAAGTCCAACTGGAAGCAGTGGAAGTAGCAGTGGCTCATCACCTGCATCTACGCCTACTACCAATGAAGCGAGAAATCAACTCTCGCTCTTCATTTCTACTGTCTGTATCGCCTTGCTTTCGGTAATCATGCTGCTTTAAGCTTCACATGTTAAATTGATATTCCAGGTTACCGATTTGTAACCTTTTAGCCTGCTAGATGTCCAAATCATCTAAAAGTGCGAATATTTATTTTACCATCTCTCAAATATATCACCATCTATCAAATATTTTACCATCTATCAACAATATATCATCAATTTATATTGTCGTGATGATACGTTCGTCAAGCTTCTTAAAGTCTACTCGACAAGTTTAGTGCGTCTCGAAAGCAGTTGATCATCTTGTGAATGGCCCAATCTGGAGTTTCCGGGGTGATAGGAAGATACACCAAACTTACAATACATGACAATATTATTGTCCGTCACCTTGTCAATTATTTGTTTCGTGATAAAACTAACCTTGTCATAATGTTTTTAGCGTGCACAGGATCATGATCTTGTCCAAGTGGACTATGCAACGAATCATCAAGTCAAACAACGTCATTCTATGGCTCTTTCTATCGTACCTTGGAACGTATGTGAGCTGTGTAGCCCCAGAAGTAACATCAAATCCCTACAATATTATTTCCAACCAATATTATTCATCTACTTCACGACTTGAGACGACCAAACGTACGTGTTTGTTCATATAGATGACAATATTCTTTGGACATGGCACACAAACAGGAAATAACCAGTAATAATGCTTCTCTGCGCTATATCCAGGAATCTACAGATTCATTTAAGAATTAAAAGACTCAAGAAGAGACAATAATCACAAAATCTTGCTTACTGATACGTTTGGAAGATCTCGAATCGCATTTGCCAATTCTTCGCTTTTCGCTCTGATAATACAGAATTCAATCATCCTTTTGAATCTTGTGTGTTAATGTATAAACTTACTTTCGCAAAAGAATGTATTGCTCATCCAAATACGTAAGTCGACGATATAAAAGTCCAAGAAGCGGCATAGATGGACGATATTGAATCAATGATACTAATTCTCCACCACTAAATCCACGAATTGCCGATGTTATCACTTGATCATGATCGGCTAGATCAGGAAAATCAAGAATAAAGTAACATATACTTGAGATATATAAAAGAAACATACCTCCAATAACTCGACAAGCATGAAGGAACAATCCATAAAGTGCAGGAGTTGAAAGACCATGAAGTACACTGTACTTGATCAATCTCTTAAAAAAAAACCCATTCGTATGACATGGATATCTAATAAAATCCAAATATTTTCAGTATCAAGAAGCTTTAATTCATCAATTTTAAACACTAACCTCCTTTCTCGACGACGCATTTCATCCAACACAGTGATATTCTTGACATAAATCAAAGCACCACCAAACGATGTTGCTGTTTTGATTGTACCAAAACTAAACATTGACACATCTGCACGTTTTTCACCTGTATATTCTTTTCCCATAAAAGCTTGAGCACCATCTTCTACAACAAGTAAATGTCTTTGTTGAGCAATTTGAAGGATTTCATCCAGTGGATCACGTGATCCAAAGATATGAGCGATAAGTATCATTTTGGTTTTCTAGTTGAATAAAACACACTGAGTAAAGTTTGATCCATCATAAAACCCAATTTTTCTAACCTTTGTTATGGCTTTTTCCAACTCTTTGCCATCAATTGCTAATGTTGCAGGAGATAAATCGACTGGAATTGGTACCAGTCCATGGTACCGTAAGATGTATACCATATCCGGAATCGTAATGGAACTACATATTACTTCACTTCCTCGTGGAAATTTTAGTGTCTGTAATAACAATTCAAACCCTGTTCTAAAATCTAGAATGAGTTTTAAATTACATGACAAGTAGTTTATACGAACCGAATGGAGAGTGTAACCATCGTATGACCACTTGGATCCCATTCTTTTGTAACCTTTTCTTCGTACTCTTCACGCTGGTGTTCATTTAATTGTAAACATGCAATTAAACCTGCACGAATGTCACTATACGTCACGTCCAATTTCTTGCGAGGGAAAATAGCCCATGGTACAGACGCCGACAAAGACTCAAATTGACCTAATTCAAATCCACTTGTAAGATATCAAATATAAATCACTACATTTAAAGCACAGCATCATACTACACAACGCTAATGCAGTCTACAAGACGTACCAAATGGTTTTAATCGCGCTGTACGTGTACGACTCATTTTCAATAACTAAGACCAAAAATAGTGTCATTTCTAAACCATACCGGTAATACCGTTTCCACAAAAAAAAGATCCAAAAGACGCAGTTGTATCATGGTACCGCATGACAACGTCACGACGTCAACATCTTACGTCTCATTACGTGATCATATAAACTATCGACACAGTACAAGTCAAGATGAAAGATTGTTATTTCCAAGATTGTTACGTGAACAATTATTCAAGTCTGTTTGGTCTCTTGAGTCACTTGCTATTCCCATGACATATATCAGTACTGGTCTATTATATTCCTTCCCACAAACTATGATCGAGATCTTTCCACGTTCTATTGGAGCTTCAGATGCTCAATTGAACACTGTTGCTGTTGTTCGTGCTCTTCCATGGACATTTAAAGTATTGCTTGGAGTGTTACCAGATTTGTACCCAATTTCAAACCAACGATATGCTCCATATTTAGGTCTTGGATGTCTTCTTGCCTCCATTTTTCACATTTTACTTGCAATTTATACAGCAACAAACACATTAACATTATTCTCATTTACTTTTCTTCTCTTTGGAGCGACAATTGGCGTCGTGATGGCTGATGTCATGGCTGATGCTTTAGTAGCACATCGAGTGGTTCAAGGACTCCAATATACCAAGTCGGGACCATTTGATGGTTCATACCTTCAGACAACCGTCTCTCTTTGTCGTTTTGGAAGTGAAATATTTGGGTATTGGCTTGGAGCATGTTTAAATTACTCGGTACAATGGGGTTACACCACATCCATGATGTACCAATTTGCATTTCTTGCATGTGTACCTCTCGTAATGGTACTTCCAGCTTTAACTTATCTTACTGAACACGATGAACGTCCTATGATGTCGTTGCAAGCTCAAATGAAAGGACTTTGGCTAATGCTTCAACGACGAGCAACATGGCAACCAGTATGTTTCCTTGTTCTTGTTAATTCATGTTTTGTACCAAATGCAGCATGGGGTAATTACCTAAAAGTTGCATATCATTTTACTGGATTTCAGTATGGAGCTATCAGTGGCATAGGTGCATGTGTCACTTTTGTGGCTATTCAATTGTATCGAAGTCAAATTGTACCTTATTTTGATGCACCGTGGCATCATGTGTTTTATACTACAGGAATTGTCATTGCATTCTTTTCTTTACTTAATATCTTCTTCGTCTTCCATGTCAATGATCAAATTGGACTCTCACCCTTTTGGTTTGCAATGGGTGATGCTGCAGGAAGTTCATTCGCACGTGGTTTTCAGTATCTTCCTGTAGCACAAATGTTTGTAGCTGTATGTCCAATGTACCAAGAAGGTGTGGCATTTGCATTGCTTACAAGTATCACGAATGTTGCTCAAGCTATTGCCACTACAATTGCCAATATATTGCTCACTCTCTGGCCTGTTGACCTCCAAGATCTTGAAAAAGTGCCTCATGATTATCAAGGAGTTTGGAAACTTTCAATCCTTACTAGCATCATCTCAATCATTCCCGTAATATTTTTAACCACACGATGGTTGCCAAAGGGACCTCAAGAACAACAAGAATGGAAACACGATTTTTCAACCACTGGAGCTGCATTTGTACTTGTTATTTATGCGGGTGGCTTCCTTTGGGTCTGTATCTCGAGTTTACTCGCAATCTTTGCTCCATGTCATGTGCTTGTAGGTGGTCATGGCTGTTAAATAATTCGCTTTGGATCAAATGATACAATTGTAGTTGAATTATTGCGCTGGAGTAGTTTTTTGAAAGAAATGACGGGTTTCAAAAGCTTTTGAAACTTTACTGATTCTAGTTCTAGCGATAAAAGTTAATTTGAATGAATTTGTTGATCAAAAAGGTCGTTGTGAGATCTTTTGTTGTTCTAGTCGTCGAGAAACTTTGATTCGATTATTGAAAGGATTCGCAAAGTAGCATTTCAAAAAGTCTTCGAAATTTAATTTCATTATTCAACCTTCATTGTTTCTTGTTTTAATTGTCAAACTTTAAGTTTGAGATATATTTCTAGACACGGTTTCAAATATCTACTCTACCTTTAAATCAATTCTCGAGAAGCATTGTCATAGCAAGATGGAAAGCTCAGCATCAACTACTAAAGCTGCTGCTGATGCAGTCAGTCAAGCGCTCGAGGAGATTCAACTTCCACCGATGAGAAAACCATCGATACCAATCGTATATACAAAACGACAGACGTCTTCACAAGACGTTGCAATGATCAATACTTTTTATAAGTTCCAATCTGCGCCTTTTCGTTCAATTTCGTTTGGAATGCCATGGAACAATCCACATACAAAGCACAGTGTGCAGAAAAAGAAGGAAACGATACATGTATCAAAGCGATCTGACACTGAATCAAAGAATACAATTGGAATGATAAAAGAACCGATCAAAGCCGATTCAGATCGTTTCATTAGTATGAGTGGAAAAAATCAAGATCAGTGGCAACAACGTGAGCAGAATTGTCAACAAAACACTGAATTAGATGTTAAAGATGATTGCAAAGTGGGTAGTTCTCTCAATTTCGTGACAACACTAGATAAGAAATCGATAGAATCAGTTCAACAGGTCGAAATGACATTAACGAAAGCTCCATTCACTGCATCCCCACGCTCAGCTCTCCGTCGAAAACAAGCACAACTTGAACCTCAATCGTTGACTTTAGATATCTCAAGCACTTCGTCGTTAGAACATTCGAAAACGTTATTATCTCAAGAGTCTAACGACAATGTTCGTGTTCATTTCGACAATATCGTTGAGAATTGTATTGGGTTGAATGAAAAAGAGCTTGAACATCCATTGTCCTTAGCTCCATCGACTCTAATTGAAAATTCTAGCCCACGTAGCATCGACAATCCAGATCCCAGTAGAATTGCCTCGCGACAAGAAGATGAATTTGATTTCGCCATCTTGCTCAAACCATCCAAGTTTGAAGAATCTATAGATTTTCAACCCCATGATTTAGAATTTCCAGATAAATGGAATCCAGTAACAGGAGAGTGTACAAACGATCGTGCAACGATTGTCCGTCGAATTCGACAGACTGGATTACACGTAAAGCGATTATTGTCATTAGATGGAAAACAATCACTGCTCAAAGTTCGAGCTCCACAACGTATTTTAGAATTAGGTGCTGAACGTTTACGACTTCGAAAAAAACGAAAATTTGATCACGTTTGGATGGTCTTTACATGTCAATTACGAACAAGTTTTGCTGACTTTGATTCAACTCGACAATGTCTAAACTTTCTTGATCGAGAGAAACAAAGTATTGTACATGCTTTATTAACTGCGTCTGAAAGTGAAGGAGGTGCTGGATTAAATGAAACTTGCTCACTAGCTGCACGGTATGTACTACAAATGTATCCGCTACACAAGCAAGATTTAGCAAGGCTACAGACTCAATGGGTCACGTTCTGGCGCACAACTTTATTCTCAACAAACGCTACTCCTACTATTGGTTGCAATATATTGGATCAACCACTTGACAATGTAGCCCAATATTTTGGAGAACGTGTAACCTTTTACTTTGCATGGATGGAATTGTACACTCGGTGGCTTGTAGTACCCAGTATTGCTGGGGTACTATTATTCTCTTTGCAAGTTTCTTCGCACCATTTAGATCATCCTGCTGCTCCAGGCTATGCCCTGTTTATGGCCCTTTGGACTTCTGCTTTTCTTATTGCATGGCGTCGTCGTGCCGCAACTTTAGCGTACCATTGGGGGACATGGGGGTACGAAGACGAAGAAGTGACACGTCCTGCATTTTACGGCGACTCAAGCGGCTCATTACACGATCTAAAGGATAGAAATGATTGTACACCACGTGAACGACACTATGCATTATGGAAGAGAGCAGCGAAATACAGTCTCACGTTTCCTTGTGTTGCCACAAGTATTGTTGCTGTGGTTACAGTCGCTTATGTTGCGTTTTCTACTCGCGATCGTCTGGAAGCTGATTCGCTAAAAACGAAGCATGAAGCCGCATTGATTGGTGATAAAATTCAAAAAACCGGTACAATAACTCTCGATGATCTTCGTGCACTAGCACATCTTGGGGTACGCTGGGATTTCTGGATCTATCTCTTGCTCACTCCTCTTCTCTATGGTCTTTTCATTCCTCTTCTTGATGCTGCATTTACTCGTGCTGCACGATGTTTAAATAATTGGGAAAATCATCGCACTGAGTCAAGATATCAAAGCCATTTGATCCTCAAAGTCTTTTCCTTTCGTTTTGTGCATGTGTTTGCGTCGTTATATTATTATGCATTTGCACCTCATACTCAATCAGTCTCAAGTCTTAAGAACGAAGACGGAACAAAGTCCGACGGGATGGTACGCGTTGCTCTTCAACTTGCATCGTTTATGGTGACGGGACAATTATGGAAAAATGTCATGGAAACACTCTTTCCATTCATTCAGCGTCGTCTTCAAGCACGTTCAAAAAAGCGAGCAAGTAATGAAAAGTTTAAACAATCCACAATCTTTAATAGTCTCACTACAGGTCCATGTCGACCACGTAGTACAGCTAGAAAACGGATGCCAGAGATTGGAAAACGAACAAATGCTGTAATTCATGCACAATGCGTACGACTTGAACAAGCATCGGATCGAGCATGGGAAGAAGCAAATTTAAAACATTATGATACGTTTGAAGATTATACCGAAATGCTTGTTCAATTTGGATATGTTTCGTTCTTTTCTTTGGCTTTTCCATTAGCTCCTTTGCTTGCTCTTTTGAATAATTTGATTGAATTGCGTACGGATGCCTTTAAACTTTGTCATACACGACAACGTCCACTTGCTCATAAAGCAAGTGGCATTGGTGTATGGCTTCATGTCTTACAAATTATGAGCGTCTTGGCTGTAGTGACTAATTGTTTTCAATTAGCGTATTCTACGTCATTATTCGAACGTGCGTTCCCTTTCATTACAAGTACAGAGAAAGTTTGGATTGTGTTTGGAATTGAACACTTTTTATTAGTCATTCAACTTTGGATGACATGCGCTGTACCCTCTGTACCCCGTGATATCTTGGAAAAATTACGAAAAGAACGAGAACTTGCAAAATATGATAGTGCACAGGTTATGGCTCGATTGTTAGAGAGTGAAGGTTGATAGAGGAATGATGGTTGGGCTTGATTTTATTCAATCGTTGATTAGAAGTGGAATTTCAACCAATCTTTGGTTGGTTATATGGATAAAAACAGTTACGATATACTATACACATACATACCCAAGAGTCGAAGAACCGTGACACTGATCATGTCGGATGCTACCCCCGCACAGGACACGCCAAAACAAGAGGAAGACTCACGTAAAGTAAATCTTGTGTCGATGGATGGAGACAGTTTTGAGGTATCGCGTAGTGTTGCGGCCATGAGTGAGCTTGTCAAGACACTCATTTCCGGTACGTTTTGGATCCTCGAAGGTTATAAGATGGAGCGTTATCGGATTTTTCTTTCGCTATAGATGATGCAGATGATGATGAAGTACAAGAGATTCCACTACCAAATGTCAAGAGTCCAGTGTTATCGAAAGTGATTGAATTTTGCAGTCACCATAACAATAATCCAATGCGTGAGATTGAAAAGGTGGGTGACGACAAAGTTTATAGGGAGAAAGGATATTTAAAGTGTAACCTTGTGATATTATACTTGTTCGATCTTAGCCACTCAAGAGCGCTGACATGCACGACGTTGTGTCGGACTGGGACGCTAATTTTGTCGACATTGAGCAAGAGATTCTCTTTGAGCTCATTCTTGCAGCGAATTACATGGACATTAAGAGTTTGCTGGATTTAGCTTGTGCTAAGGTTGCAAGCATGATTAAAGGCAAGACCCCACAAGAGATTCGTGACACGTTTAACATTGTGAACGATTTTACGCCTGAAGAAGAGGCGCAAATTCGCGAAGAGAACAAGTGGTGTGAGGAGGCGTAAATAATGAGACGCAATTTTACAGAGCATAAGGAAGTTTGATTGTTTATATTGATGCTAGTTATTGTAACACGTGACAAGTAGGATGAAAGAAGCTACGGAACGTTTTTGCTATCGCCGATAGTAGAAGCTTACAAGAACTTGAATGTGATGCAAGAAGGTTGTATAGAAGCTACTTATTTAAATCAAGAGACAGGTATGTATCATCCGTAATTGCGCAACCTCTTTGGGAAAAACAAGGTCACAAACTCAACGGGATGGGTCGCTAGTATAAACGTTTACTTTTGCAGTCGCTTGTAAGACTTGGCTGCAGGTGAAAGCATTGGCAAGTCTGTCGCAAATAGGACTGCGAAGTGTAATAAGATGCACTTGAGCTTCTTGAGCTTCTTAAGCTTCTTGAGCTTCTTGAGCTTCTTCGGCTTCTTAAGCTTCTTAAGCTTCTTGAGCTCAGATTGAGGAATGATGTCTGGATTAACTGACTGGCTGTCGTAAATTTTTAACTTTGGCCTTACCGGTATATGGCGGTATTGTTTTTTAAAAAGTAGTGAAGGAGTTTATGTAATTCAGCGTTTCAATAATAATATTTTTAGCACTCGATTTTAAGGCTTCAGGGTCAACAGGTTAACTTGCGTTGCCATCTTGTCGACAGATTACAACCGCAACCAAGTATTGCTCTAGAATTGTATCTCTAATAACCTCTCGCATCGATGTCTTAGAAAATGAGTGTTACAATCTAAAATGGTCTTTTGTCAAGATAGCCTGCTCTATATATAGGAAGGTTTTTTTGCTTTTAATAAAACCAAGGACTGACTTCATAATAAAACTAAGATTGTGATGGAATCGCTCGGGGTTAAGTAAGCAATACTGAAGAAAATCAGTCTCTTCCTCGGATTAACACAAGAATGTGTATTATTTGTTAGTCTAGAACGGAAAGGGGTACATAATGGCGGGCAAGCTCTTACCGCGTGCTCACACCAGCGTGAGGAGCAAGCAAAGAAATTGAGAATGGGACCCTAGCAGCCAAAAGATCACTCTCGAAGTAATTAGTACAGAACAAGTTTACAAGTAGATCATAACAGAAATCGTACTATGGAACAGGGCTTGATCTTTTTTATTACAGATACTTTTTACCCGCAAGAAGTGTAGTTTGGTGTAGAGCCATTACCATAGCTGATGTGGTGCACATAGTGCGATGGCATGAATCGGTTATAATAACTGTGAGTTCAATACCTTGCAAACACCAGCGACACAGATGAGGCGTCTGAAAAGAAGTAATGCGCTGGGTAACGATAACTGTACAGCATCGCACATGACCCCACTCCAGGGAGAATTGTTTGACTTAGCCTTGTAAATAAACTAACAGTTGGGATTACGTATCAGAATACATCGAATCAAGACAAATGATGTATTCAAAAAATGAGAGCTCTTTTACTGTGTGTGATCGCTGTCGGTTGTAAAGCTTTGATGTAAGCGCCAAAACAGCTTTCTCCACGCAATCCCTGACACAAGAAACATATAGTTTTGTCCTTGTTGAGATCTGGTAAAGAGTACTGTCAGGAAACGCAGGTGTTATAGCAATCATCGACGTACTTCAAATATAAAAGCGAACGATCACTGTATTAAAATCCATCCAAAGTGGGTGTATCATGCTCGATGATAGCATCTTGTTCGACAGATATCAACGTACTTTGAAACATTAATTATCCCCCATCCGTGATCTCCTTAAGGGGAACGTGGAATGATTACGTACGATATATGATGTGATACGTACGGTACAGCCGCAGCAAAGACACCGTCTCCAAGCGCTCCCGATCAGTGTTTAAGCGTCAATATTTGAGCTAATATTAACTCAAGTTTGAAGAGTACTTCAATCAGCGCTTTTGGAATCGATACTGTATATCGTTGACTGCAGAAGCTGCTTGTCAAATTTACTGAGGTCGATGCTAAAAACGATCTATGTCATGCTTGCAAAAAAATTCGTGACGGACGCAGCATATCAATTTTGCAAACGAAGTGCTTAACTCTCTGCGTCATTGTGCATGAATGGCAACCAAATATGGGCACGAATCCGATCGTTAAAACTGAAACAGACCTTGAGACTACCGGCGCGCGTACAAAATTTTTGTAGAAGAAACTCAAGTATGTGGATAAAACTTGTGTTTCAGCGGATTTTCGTGTACCTTGCACAAAGAATGCTCTGAGCTCGGAAGAATCTACACAAGTGCTACAGCATTATTGAACTATTTAAGCGCAAATTTATATTCTCAGCGGAGTTTCCATGCACCTTGCACGAATAATGCTTCAACTCGGTTCAATCTACTCAAGAAGAGGCACATAGAGTTAGCTCGGAGGCGCCGGTCGAGTTGAAGATATGCCGAAATTTAGCTCAAATGTCTCCCCTAGGTTGAAATGCCAAGATCCTCTTAATTATCAAGGATGCGATACTGCTTAAGAAACAGAGCCATACAACAAAAATGCAATTAGCTAGAACTACCCTTTATCATTCATTATACTGTTTCATACGATGCATGGGATTTAGCAGACAGCATGTCTAGCGGACCTCATTTATCACTCTTACTATCGTACTACATTACGGTTTATAATCACTATAATCCTTAGCCTTTAAACATTTAGAATTTACATTAAGTCCGAAGGACAAGGGTTTAATACGTACTCACACCATAGCAGGGTGCAAAACCTGCTATGGTGTGAGTAATCTCTCTGAGCTTACACAGCAGTTTCACTGTTAGCTTTTATCAGCCGCATACAATAACCAAACATTAATCAAGCTCTGAAGTTCATCACCCGACATATTTCCATTAAGCGACTGCCTGTGCTAAGCCTTGTTCAAAAGGAAAAGCCAGTATTTTCGGACCAAATGGTCAAAGCTATTTTGCCGAGTCCCGATTATTCACGTCGTTCTTCTCCAAAGAGATACGCGGCTTGCGATTCTTTATCGAATAAAGCCTCTCCAAGGCCAATCTAAACGATAACGAACATAATTCGTTCCTCGGCTCACGCTCAACGTCGCACGAGCTGGGTAAACTTCACCCATTTTCTGTATCAGAGAGCAGCTAGAATCTTCGTCCGATGTTGACGATGCGGTAGGTATGGTTAAAAGTGAATTCAATCTGACATAAAACTGCTTTGAGTGCTTGTCGAAAAGCAGATAGTCACAGTGACCTTCAACAAATCGCTAATGGGTATATCACGTCATGACATGTCATCTCACAGAAGCCGCTCAGCATGTCGAGACACAGTTCTTAGAAACTTATGAGTAGAGCATTCTGAGAGTAAAACGCTTACATGACAATCCTCTTGTGAACTTATTTGTAAACATATGTCACACGAATTCGCCGCTTACGGTTGGATCAGACACAGCACCGCCAGCAATGAGAGCTTTATCATTGGTACTGCGATCTAGTAAAAGTAGAGAAGGTAATAATGCTCAATTCGAGCGTTTAGTGCCGTTGGTTTGTCGCCCCTTAATTTTGCAGCTTTGTACCAATTTTGAAAGACGATCGATTGAATTGTCGCTTGATGTATTTTTAGTTTAAAGTGCGAAATAGAGGCATTTGTCTCTATTTCTAGCAGACAAGTGGGTTCCGCCGCATAGCACTATCGCTTACACGGGGAACATGTCATTAACGTAGAGAATGACAAATGGCGAAGAAACAACCAGCAAAAATCAAGGAAGGTTAAACGTTGCAGGTACCTGATCTGAGTGAAAACTGCTGGATTGCTTTCACATCGAGCTGCGGTAGCTTGTTTGAGCCATATCGGAGCTGGTAGATCATATCGGCGGGTACTTGAACTTCTTCAGACGGTTTCGTGTGCACGTCTAAGTCAAGGGCTTCATTAAAAATCGCAGTCTAATGTTGATATGTTTATTCTGAAGCTGACAATGACAATGCATCGTCTGGAAGACACACATAGTGTTCATACGCAATTGGCGAGTGTATGTGGATAACTCATTTGGAATTCTTATAGCCCTTCTTTACTATTTGCGACGGCTCTATTTATCAGTCATTCAAAAACATCCATCATTACCACTACCATTATCACTTTGTCGACTGCAACCGCCTCCATTTCCTCGTCTTATAGTCCAAATAGCTTTTTTGCCTTCACGCGTTTTTACCTCTTACTTGTGATTTATCGTATATTGCATAGCCATTGCAGCGGGGCTGCCGTAGCGTTGCGCTTATAGGAAGCGTAATTTAGGTCACCGACCTTTCATTTTATACTTAGAACAAGTACGAGCTAGCAGATCGCAATTTGCTTACTCCAAGAGTAATATTATTGTCTTAACCCAAGGCTTATTACTCTCACGTTCAAAATCCAACACTGATTTTTATTGATTTTTATCTGCGGCAAAGCCGCCAGATTTTAAATGTATAGATTTTTCTGAATATATAGTAAAAATTAAATGCATGCAGAACTACTGGCTACCTAGCCACACATACCGTGTTCTTTTTTTAGTGCGGTCACACCATGCCCAATCTCGTGTGACACACACCCCTGTTACCAAAATATGTTTAATGTATTTAGATACCTCAGTTGGTTGGTGCTCCACGATATTTTTCATCCAGGACAACAAACTTAAATAAATTCATATTTATTCTTAGTAACACTATTTGTGTGCTACCTTTGATTCTTCATTGTTTCGAGGCAACTTCTGTTTTTGGTGGATCGGGTTTAACACGAGCCTAATTTGTTAATGTGAGAGAATTCGGCTTGGTAGTGCTACAAACCTCGTCGCATGCCGAATCCATCCCATGTTTGCGGCATCAAGTACACTTCATATATTCCTCTGTGCAAGGTACACGGCATTTTGATGCACTTCGTAGCAATTGTCGTCAGTCCGACAATCCTTTCGTAAAATGACGGTTCCTTTGGAAGGATAAAATTAAGCTATTTGAGATTTTGTTCCCGAAACTCCATGCTTGGTAATATGATAGCTATCGCCGGTCTTGAAGGGATCAGGGAGCTCACAGCTAAGAGTT